GCCTTTCAAATTTTATTCTCAAATTACAAGTCTGTAATAGTTATACACTGTGTTGTAAGACAGTGCTCACTGTATGAAGCTATGGTGAAATGTTTAATCATGATTTATCAGACTGAAAAATTGTAATAGTAATTAACAGAGTACTTTGTTTCAACTCTGAAATTAAAAGGAAAGTGGATGTAAATAGATAAATATTTTTCATAGGTACTCTCACCATATATAATGATTTCACTGATATGCAATTTAATATCTGTACATTTCAGGCAAAGAATTCAGCAGGTCTAATAGGGTTTATACCTGAGAACTATATAGTGTTTGTTGATGAGAATAACAGTGCAGTACAACATGAAGATGTAGTAGACACTCAGTATACTGAGGGTATAATCAAATTTTATACATGTCGTAATCTAAACCCAACTAGCTCTTATATGATAAATGGTGTTTTGGACATTTATCTTTATTAATTACTAGTAAACATTGAAAGTTCCTGAGCTAAATATTAGCAAAATTTGGTGGCTCTATGGGTGACAGTTACTAGAATAATGAAAATTTAGTGCTTAAGCTGCACCCACCTTAGTGTCACATTCAAAAATTGACCTCCCTGCAGATGTAAGATAAAATTAAAATAAAACCCTTCTTTAAATACCCCTTCTAATTATGTACGCATATTGAGAACTAATTATGTTACCTGTATGTTAAACTTTAATTTTATAAGATTTGTATACCGATTCTTTGATATGCAATTGACTTAGTCTAACTCTGAAACAACAGTGACTTTGTTAGACTGGAATCATTATGAGATCTTGTATATAAATTTTGTGCATTGTCTTATCTATATGAACTGAATTATAAACAACATGTCAGAACCTGCCCAAAAAATCTTGTTCTCTTAATTAAGGCTTACTTCAGACAGATATGTATATTGCTGTTTTTAGCTCAACCAGTGCCGAAGGGTCTAAGGGTGAGTATAAGTATCAAGGGGATGCTCCGGCGCCGTTCGTCATGAGTCAACAATTGTCTTCTTCTCTCTGAAACTACTAAGCAGATTTACTTCAAATTTGGTCTGTAGGCATCCTTAGTGGACAGTCACACTTGGATTTTTGCTAATGTTCATTGCAATTGCCCCTTTTAGGGGTCGCAGAGCTAATAAATAGAAAAAACCTTTTTAAACATCTTCTTCTATAGACTAATTGTATGGATGATCACACAAACTTTGTCTGTAGCATGCTTGGGTAGTCTTTTATCAAGTTTGCTCATATTAATTTGATTGGCCCCTTTAAGGGGTCTCTGGGGCTAAAAATAGAAAAACCTTTAAACATCTTCTTCTACAGAACTAATTGATGGATGATCACCAAACTTTGTCCGTAGCATTCTTGGGTAGTGTTTTATCAAGTTTGCTCAAATGAATTTGATTGGCCCCTTTTAGGGGCCGCTAAAGCTAAAATTAGAAAAACCTTTAAACGTCTATTTCTACAGAACTTATTGATGGATGATCACCAAACTTTGTCTGTAGCATTCTTTGGTAGTCTTTTATCAAGTTTGCAAAAATTATTATGATTGGCCCCTTTTAGGGGTCCCTAGGGCTAAAAATAGAAAAACCTTTAAACATCTTCTCTTACAGAACTAATTGATGGATGATCACCAAACTTTGTTTGTAGCATTCTTAGGTAGTGTTTTATCAAGTTTGCTCATATAACTTTGATTGGCCCCTTTTAGGGACCGCTAAAGCTAAAAATAGAAATACCATTAAATGTCTATTTCTAGAGAACTACGTAATTTATGGATGATCACCAAACTTTGTCTGTAGCATTCTTGGGTAGTCTTTTATCAAGTTTGCTTATATTATTATGATTGGCCCCTTTTAGGGGTCTCTAGGGCTAAAAATAGAAAAACCTTCATTTTCTCCTACAGAAAAAATTGATGGATGATCACCAAACTTTGTTGGTAGCATTCTCAGGTAGTGTTTTATTAAGTTTTCTCATATTAATTTGATTAGCCCCTTTTAGGGACCACTAAAGCTAAAAATAGAAATACCTTTAAATGTCTATTTCTAGAGAACTAATTGATGGATGATCACCAAACTTTGTCTGTAGCATTCTTGGGTAGTCTTTTATCAAGTTTGCTAATATTATTTTGATTGGCCCCTTTTAGGGGCCGCAAAAGCTGAAAATAGAAATACCTTTAAATGTCTTTTTCTACAGAACTAATTGATGGATGATCACCAAACTTTGTCTGTAGCATTCTTGGGCAGTCTTTTATCAAGTTTGCTCTTATGAATTTGATTGGCCCCTTTTAGGGGCCGCTTAATCTAAAAATAGAAATACCTTTAAATGTCTATTTCTACAGAACTAATGGATGGATGATCACCAAACTTTGTCTGTAGCATTATTGGGTAGTCTTTTATCAAGTTTGCTCATATTAATTTGATAAGCCTCTTTTAGGGGCCTCGTAAATTAAAAATAGAAATACGTTTAAACATCTTCTCCTACTGAACTAATTAATGGATGATCACAAAACTTTGTCTGTAGCATTTTTGGGTAATCTTTTATCAATTTTTGCTCACATTAATTTGATTGGCCTCACTTAGGGGCCGCTAAAGCTAAAAGTACAAAAACCTTTAAACATCTTTTACTTCAGAACCAATTGATGGATGGTCACCAAACTTTGTCTGTAGCATTCTTGGGTACTCTTTTATCAAATTTGCTTATATAAATTTGATTGGCCCCTTTTAGGGGACCCTTAAGCTAAAAATAGAAAAAACCTTCGAACATCATTTCCTACTGAAATAATTGATAGATTATCACCAAACTTTGTAGCATTCTTAGGTAGTCTTTTATCAAGTTTGCTCATATTAATTTAATTAGCCCTGTTTAAGCTAAAGCTTAAATGCCCCAGGTCATGGCATTTCTTCAAATTGTTGTTTAAACATATTGTATGCTCAAATTTTATATTAGAATATATTGACATTTCAACACTGAACAGCAGTTGTGTCTGGTGAGCGACTCAGGGCTATCATGGCCCTCTTGGTTATGGGCATGTTTTCTGTAGATCCAAGGTTGTAATTCTTGAAAACGTTATATGCTTTCCACAAATATATATTAGGAATGATGATATCTTTGAATGATGTGTATACAAGGAACTGCCTCCTTTTCATGTAGATTTGAAATAAAAGTTTATCTGCTGACTTTTCATTGGTTGATTATGAGTCTAATCTTAAAATTGACCAATGATGAGTTGAGGTTTGACTTTTGAAAATGGTCACATAGGATAAGTTTTATAACCTTGGACCGTGTTCTTTAGGTGAAGCACATACTAGTATGGAGGAGCCAGAGATTAGCTCCCCTCCTCCCCCAATGACCCCTGTGACCCCTACTAGCCCTACTTCCATCCCTACAATAGAAGAACCTGAGGAGTGCAATTTCCCTCCACCTCCTCCAGACACACAGGAAGTGACATCATATTCATCAGGTGACATTGAAGTGCAGCAGACGACAAGTTCAATGGAGAATATGCATCTTCCTCTTGATGGTAATGTTTAGAAATTTCTTTCTTTGCATCATTGCTTTGACTTCCCTTGAATGTTGAGCCATCGTTTTCTCTTTTCATAAATAATGCATGTTTTGTTTTCTATTTACTTTTAACACTTAGATAAACTTGAGTTCGATTTCATGCATGTTTCTTTTAAAAACTTTGAAACTTTGGACTTTTTCAACTGTAACTTTTTTTGCAATGAAAAACCATGCATACAAACTTTGCTTGTATGATTTAGAGTGGTCTAGTGTCTTGTATGAACTCAAATTGTCATTTAGTTATCCTATCATTCAGGTGGCACAAATTTTTACCCAAAATATTGAATTGTCTGGGTCCAGTATTTCAAATTTCTTTCTATTGGTTAAGGGTTTTACATTGTTCAGTGTTAAAATGATTTCAACAGATGCCTGCTATGTTCGTGCATTATACGATTATGAAGGGACGTCACAGGAAGAACTATGTTTTGCTGAGGGCACAATTATCAGGATTATCCGAAAAGATGAAAATGGTATTGATGATGGATTCTGGGAAGGGGAGGTAAATGGTGTTGTTGGAGTATTTCCCTCCCTTGTTGTAGAAGAACTGTCGACTGCTGGAACAGCTCATGTAAGTATTTTTATGATTCATCTGATAAAGAATTTAAATTTTACAAGGGAGTTAAATGGAAGAGATAATTAGAAGAAATGTAATTTTGATTGTCCAAGGGAGATAATTGGAATGGTTAACAATATCAAAATACTTTTGATACAGGTAAAAATATAAAATAAATCATAACACAATTTCAGTTAAATACTAATTGTTTTGATAGAAAGAGGTCAATAACTAATAAAATTATACATGTATATCTATTGTATGTATGATTTTCTTCTGTCAAAATCTTGATAATATAAAATTGAAAATTTTGATATTACATTAATTTTTGTAATTTGTATAAATTTGTAGTTGTACATTTAGCAGTTCCTTTTGCTTTTTATGTTTCAATTATAGCATAATTATAATTTATTAGAATATTTCATCACTTCTTTATACTTGTGCTTTAACAATAAGACTTAATAGATTCAAATTCACTATTTATTATATTGAATATTTCCATTTATTTTATGTACATGTATAAACAGATTTTGTTATGATTATTTTCAATGTATTCTTCCATCAGCACTTGTATGATCTTTTTCATTGCATCTTGTTCGTAGATAACTTTATAAAGCTTCAAAATCACCATGATTTATAAGATGTATTATTGATCCTCTAGTATCTGGATGCTTATTAAATTGTAGATATATCAAAATTTGAAGTATAAATGATGAGTTGAATTATACACAATTTTGGATGGATAGAATACAGTGAATAATCATACTTATTAATGTAAAATCATGCATATTCATGTAAAATTACACATATTTATGTAAAATCATGCATATTCAAGTAAAATCATGCATATTCACGTAAAATCATGCATATTCATGTAAAGTTCTCTGCTGTGTACTAATTGAACCTTTATACTAATATTTCACAGGATTTCCCCTCCCCTCTGCAGTCCCCTCCAGACTACATGCCCCCACCCCCTGTCATGATCACTGCAGCAACACCAGAGTCAGAACATCCACCTCTGTCACCACTGACACCAACAACACCCATTGCAAACGGAACAGGTAAATTTTTGTCTATGTTGTGGGTAATGTTATAAACCCTTTCACCCAATCAGTTGTGTGTATTCTCCCACCAACACTAGTTTAATTTGTGTTTAAAGCTTGATATTTTTTTAAAAAGTAGATAAAATTATATTTTTTGTAGTAAATTATTTTATGATTAATGCTTCCTCCCCCTGTTATAGTTTCTTTTAAAATAATACAGCATGTCCATATAATAAAATTGTCAAATCAAGATTGTAATGTATTTAATTGTAGATTTTTATATTTGGCTAGTAAAGTGTAAATGTTTCTTCTAATAAGCAATATTCTTTCATTACCAAGAAAAGAGATAAAAAAAAACTGCATGAGAATGGATAGTATTTCAAAACTTTACAAAATAGATAATGATGATCTGAAATGTAAATAATTGATAGCATAGTGTCATTTTGTTAAAGGGCAATACTGGTGCAAAGGGGACACTCTTTGCAGTTTGGAGATATTCTATTGCCTAGTGTAAAAGGACAATGAGGTCATCTTACCCAGGCCCCACAAGGTCATTTAGGACAGGTTTAAAGGTCAAAATAATATATTACATGAATATAAGAATGAATTATTATTATTATGATGCATAATGATGAAGATGCTTTGATTATGTAGGCTGATAAGCCTGTCTGGCTGTATAGATATCTCACATTTACTTCCTGTGTATTTTATGCATTAAAAGGAATGTCAGCATGCAGCCTTAAAAAATTGGTATATAATTGTAAATGATATTTCTTTTCTTTCCCAGGTTGCACTTTCCTTTTCTTGCATTTGTCTTCATACCTTAGAACAAAACTGCAAAACAATGAAAGGAAATTTTTTTGGTATTCTTAATTGTCTGCATATGAGTCATGTTAGGAACACTTCAACAGTGTGTCTGCTGTAGAATCTGAGGGTCCCAGGTTCAAGTCTTAAAATTCCCTTTAAAATATCTAGCATTGCTTCATCTAGGTGAATTTTTTTGCCGGAGTGTTGAATTTTTGGTTTTTTAATGCTTTATGCTGTAAGATGAATCAAGAGATTGATATTTTTTATATGAGGTACTTGATGATCAAGTGCCAGAGCTTGGACACATTTTAATTGAAAGATCACTTTCAAATTATGTCATACTGATGTTAAGTGATCTCAACATAACCCCTAGCATGAAACAAGTTGGTTGAAAACACATTGCTTTATGTCATTTTTCCTCCATTTTAGATTTCAAATGATATGTGTGTAGAAAAAAAAGACAGTCAAGTGACTCTGTAAAATTTATCAATTCTGATCATATTTGTTTGGCCCCTTTTACTGGTATATCAAAACCTTACCTCCATTCTTAGAGCATAAAGCTTTTAGGACTTTTAAGCTATTTTTCCATCAGAAATTATTATTTTTTTAGTTGTTTAATTTTTTGTCTCCCCTACTCCACTTGTGCTTTCTACTTTTTGTTTCAGGAGAACTCTTTTATCTATCCTATTGCATTTCTGTGATGTATTTACATTTGTATATAGACAGATGAAATTTTTGTTTTTACAGCTTTTGCTTATGTATACTGTAAAATTGGTCTACTTTTGTATTTCACAATATCCTGTTATTTTGATCCCCCCACTGTTCCTCTGTCATGCTGTCCCTCCACAGACTGACACATCCGACTGACAAATCAGTGGTGTGTGGCAGCATCCATGTCTGTTGACAAAACAGTGGGGTGTGGGGACATCATTGGGCACATTTCTAGCTGAAATATACATACCGTCATCTCAGTGCAGTAATGAGTTAAGTCCTATTAAATTATATAAGGGGGCAGGGGACCTAAAAATGAAAAATTTTGTATTTCAGTGTGACCAGAAACACAATTCCAAATATTTCAAAATCTGTTTCACAGGCAGATAACCAGTTGCACAGCATTATTCAATGATATATGACATACATTGAAGAAAATAATAGTTTGCATGCATTGCTCCTTCAAAAAATGACTGACAGCAATTTATATTTACCCCCCACCCAGCCAAAATCACACCTAAAATATACCAATATGGGCAATCTTCATGAAGGTGCAGCATACTCCAGAATCCGCCTGATTCCTTTAAAAATATCAGTAACACGCAGTGCAAGCTATAGCATTTTCAGAAATGACAAATAAAGTGTCTGTCATACGTTTAGATTTTTCACAAAATTTATCTGAAATTTCTTACTTGTTTGGCGCCAACTGTCAAAGCTTGATTTTTAACTTTTTTACCTCCATTCGGAGAGTCAGAAATACATACAAAGCTACCAAAATGCTTAGTTTTGGGTAAAAACCCAAAAATATATCTCATTTCCTACACACAAACAAGAAAGAATTACAATGACAGAGAAATATCAGAAGTTATCAGTACCTTCAAAACACCATGTCTGAGTTATTAAAAAATTTGACCGGGGCCATCATACGAATATGTCCCCTGCCCCCTTAAGATTTTTTATGTGATCCGCATTAAAGCGTTTCCTTTTATTTTCTTAAAATATGGAGTATTTCGCATTAAACGTTAACTTCGAAAAGTGAATACTGCGGTTACTTTGTATTTAATCAAATATTTAAAAAAAGACCCTATTTCAGGGGAAGTAACTAGTACAATGACCATGCCTGTTATATGATTTACTTAATATCAAGTGCCAGGAACCTGTGAGATGGTTATTTTTCTGTATTCCACCTTCATTTAAATACCATAAAGTATTTTCAGAGTTTTTAAAGTCTTTTGGAAGGAGATTATAGCAAGAAAAACAATATTACAGCCACATTTAATGTCCCAAAATGAATTTTACAGGAAACCAGACCCCATTTATTCTGGCATACACCTGAAAGTGCAGTAAAGATACCACTGTTGACTTATATGACATTATATACATTTGTAACAATTAAAAGTGCTCAATTATGCATTATTATGTCAATTTGCACAATATAAAACTGTTAAATCTGGATAAATGTGCACATTCTGTGAAGTACAGTGTTTGCCAAAATTCAAAATTTTTATTACCTCCCTTGACTTTACAGTCTACTTAATAATAATAATAATAATAATAATAATAACTTTATTTACCGAAGGTAACACATTAAGACATATACAGATTGCAACATCTTATTTACAATGCGGCCTTCTAAAATAAAAAAAAATAAAATAAAAATAAATAAAAATAAAAAAAACACACACAAAAGAACACATATCAATCAAAGAAAATATAACATGTAAATGAAATGATTAAATGGTTATCACAATTTTAACATATATAAACACATATACTGAACATTCATACAATTCATTTTATTTATCATTAAACATAATACATTCATCAGTGCATCATTTTAATCAGCAATTTAAAAAGTAAAATTAACTTACAAAATTAACTTACTCTACATAACTTGATAAATCCTACCAGTCACTTCAAATTTTGACTAACAAATGTAGAAGGAATGTTTATGGGCACATTTGGGTCAATTCCAACACATTTTATAAATTTGAAAATTTCCTTAAGGGGGCAGGGGACCTAAAAATGAAAAATTTTGTATTTCAGTGTGACCAGAAACACAATTCCAAATATTTCAAAATCTGTTTCACAGGCAGATAACCAGTTGCACAGCATTATTCAATGATATATGACATACATTGAAGAAAATAATAGTTTGCATGCATTGCTCCTTCAAAAAATGACTGACAGCAATTTATATTTACCCCCACCCAGCCAAAATCACACCTAAAATATACCAATATGGGCAATCTTCATGAAGGTGCAGCATACTCCAGAATCCGCCCGATTCCTTTAAAAATATCAGTAACACGCAGTGCAAGCTATAGCATTTTCAGAAATGACAAATAAAGTGTCTGTCATACGTTTAGATTTTTCACAAAATTTATCTGAAATTTCTTACTTGTTTGGCGCCAACTGTCAAAGCTTGATTTTTAACTTTTATGTGTCCCCTGCCCCCTTAAGGATTTAACCTATTACTGCACTAAAGTGACAGTGGGCAACTTGGCAAGAATATCTTAGATTAGATTTTTTTAAGCCATTATTTTCATTGTTTCTGGATTATTTTATTTTTTCTAATTTCAATTCATAGATTTTCATTGATTTAAACCAGAAAAATTAATATGCCGTAACAAGACACTTTATAGATAGTACGGAATCAATTCTACAGTATACATTAGCATCATGACGTCATTTGCATGTTTGTGTTTCAGTGGATCACACGCCTCATCGTCGTACACATGTCCGTCAGCATTCTTACGGCAGAAGTAGAAAACTTGCCAAAGTTAATCAAACCTCATACGAGTCTGCCGTCTAGGTATTCATCTCACTCTAGTGTAACCTCGTACCCAAGTTTTTTTTTCTTTTTTGATAATAAACAGTTATAATTACGAGGGCCCGGAACTGAAATATTTAATGTGTTGATATTCATACATGCTTTGTGATATTTTTGGCATGGATTTTGGATAATTTTTCATCTACAAGTGACATATGATATGCTAGGATTGATGTAAAATTGATCAGATATTGCAAACTCAATGAGATTTAAATTATTTAAAGAATTTCAACTTTTTGGTATTAATCTTAGATTAGAATTAAGCCTATGTGTGTTAAATATATCACAAAGTGTACATCATAACAACTGTCATCCTTAAACTAATCTTTACATTTAGTAAAGGAAAGTTAATGGACAAAGACATTATTATAACAAGCTTTTCTCCATGAAAATATTTGATTGTCATAGAATTATTTAAAAAAAATTCAATGCTGTGTTCTTTTGGCACTTTCTTAACGTTACTCTTTTGACATATACAGTGGTTGCTAAATTGTAGCTAAAAATGGAAACCAGTCTGAAACCAGTCTTGAAATACAATACTACCATTGGTTGATTTAAAAATTAGGATACAGATTAACCAATCAGAGGCTGCAGGTGCGTGAGACTGGTTTCCAGTGATTTAACATGCAAATTTTTTCAAAAAGAAAAGCATTATTTTTAATTGTTAAGAGTAATCAATTTCATCTAATAAACTTTTTCACGTATAGTGCATTTTGCATGTACATGTATTGTAGCATTTTAACTGTTAACAGTTTGGAAACTAACACTCAGATATTAGTGTAGTTCTAATTTAAATTGTGATATTGTTAAAAAGTAACACAATTTCACAATCTTGTTTTTTCCTGGCAATAAGGATGTAGTAAAAAAGCAATACATTCTTGTCCACAATCACTGAGAAGGTAAATTAGGCATTGTCAGAAATCTATGGTACAGTGAAAGTTGAGAAAACCGGACGGCTTTCGGACAGAGGGTTTTGTCCGGTTTTCTCAGCGGTCCGGTATTCTCAATGTCCCCTTCAGCTGTTCAAGATCATATAAACTGAGCAATGACTTTCAAAGGATGCTGAACGTATATTTGAATTTTCATGATTATGAGTATGTATATTGCTAAATAAAGAAATGAATATGTTTTAATTGTTTTTGTCCCATTTTTGCATATAGATACAATAAAATTTTGGATTTAAACGAACAGCAGTTACCTCATAACGATAAAGTCCGATTACACCCGCATATGTTGGGTAACGGATAATGATTTAACGAACATACATGTAGTTTAATTTGTTTATAATAATTCCCCAATTGTAAATATTGCCTATACCATATTTGTCAGATAAAGATTTTTAAAGTAGGTCTCGGCAAAGTTTCACTGTTTTTAATTAATTTAAATTTGTCACTTATAGACAGCTCTCATCAACTGATTTTAACTTATCAATTCCTCGTGCATTTTGGCATTTATATAAAACGGTAACAAATATACCTTAGAATAAACCAAACTGTGAAATGAGACATAATTAACAAATCAGACAATCATTGTTCCGTTACCGCTCAGTTAGCGTATTAGACACAACCAATTGATAAGTACACAAGGTAATTCACACCTTCGTCGTCTGGTATTGTCAGGGTAATTGTCTATATAAATGACTTTGTAGTCCCCTATCAACCGTCCGATATTCGGTTTTTACAGATTCCGGTATTGTCAATGTTTAAAACAATAGTTTAAAGAAGGGAAAATTGGGGACTGAATTATTCGTCCGGTATTTAGAGAGTTCCGATTTTCTCAGCGTCCGGTTTTCTCAAATTTCACTGTATACATTTATTAATAACCACATTTACAAACCCAAATCAAAAAACTTTCATCAACTAATCAATTACTTGTTATAGCTTAACATGTTTAGTTTGTTATTAACAAATATTTGTCTTAATCATATGATCTTTTCATTGGAACTAATTTTCTTAAAAAACAACAATTATTTCAAAATGTTTGTTTTCTTACAATATTTCAGCCGCTAATGTTTCATTAAAACGTAGAAAACGGTATGATAAAAAGATTCCTTTTTGCCTAACAATGTTGCTGTGCTTGCATGATGGTTACTAATGACTATTATGACTAACTCTGTCCCTCACGGACATGTCGAGGGTTGACTGCAAAACTGCAGTAACTTAAATAAAATAAAGCAGGACTTACAACAGTTTTGCTATCAACCCTCAATTTGTGTAACTGACATGCTATGCTTTGAATTTGAAATAACCCATTTTTTAACACTCCAACATCTTCAGAGGTGCCGTATAGAGTTGTCCGTGTCCGTCACTCTGGCTTTCTGTTTACTGACAAAACAGTAGAATGTGGGGGCATTGGTTTCCTATGAACTAATTTCTAGTTCTGTCCAGCAATTTTAAGGCATTCAGACAGCAAAAATGTTTAATGCATGCTCTAAGCTTGGCTCTATAATAGCAAATTGGGTAGAAAAAAGTTCTGTGATGGTATAAAATTACTTAGTTTTGATTAAACGTTCAATGTTTTCTTCAGATAAATCATCAAAATCAGGGTTTTCATTTCATTATAAATATTGTGGCGATCCATAACATCTGAGTTGAAATGCTGCTGAAATTGGTTATATTTTTAGCCTGTATATTAAAATATCACTCACTTAACCCATGGCCAAATTGGTTGTTTTTTCTTGGCACATGTGTTGACTCAGATAAAAATGAAAACCCTTCAAATATATAGACAGCCTCTTTTTAAAACTGATCTATAATTCAGCTGTAATTTCAGCTTAGAAAAGGTGATATGGTTTATGGTTTCAGGTTTCTCTGTTTGCTGCTTTGCAACTTCATTATTTGTCCTGTGAATGAGATACATATATGTCATGAATCTCTTTCTCTTCTAAGCAATCAGTCAAGTTTTGTTGCAGTTTTCTATGGAGTGCTTTGATACTTTTTAATGATCTTATAAGTACTGTGGTATTTTGTGTACAAAATTTAACATTTAGTTTTAAGTAATTAAAGAAAATGTGGTTTTTGTAATATAATTAATTATACAATTGGATAGAAATGCTGTAGTGATAATTGTTACATTAAAGATATAAAGACATCTGCACATAAAACACATGTTTCTTATTTATAATTATCTTAATTATAATGTGATACTTTGTTACAAAAGTTATTTAGAAAAATGTGCTTATTTAAAGTCATAATAGGTAATAAATTAACAATAGTTACTGTAAATGTTCTGCATCATTCTAAGGGTTCTGTTACAACACCCACTTTTTTGCTTTCATTAAAAAATATAATATTGACATGCTTTCTAAGTATTTAACTTAAATAATAAGTTATGTTTTTATTATGATTTCTCTTAACAGTTACAATTTATCTAAATAGAGATTTTTTTGTCATTTTAAGCAGTTAATATTCACAACATTAATTTAAATGTGTACCAGAATATTCCATTTGAAAGGCGTTATTTTTACCATTTAAAAATATGCAAATAATGGAAATAATACAGGCTATTGTAAAAAACCATTTAATTAGCATATTATAATAATATTTATAAACAGTATTTTTCACTTCTATCTGAAATGATTTGTTTTTCTGGGCTTCATAACCTCTATCCTTAGCCTTAACTATTTTATTTGTTATAATGGTAAAGAATGAAAAGTTTGTATTTGAAATGTTTACATTTAAATTTTGTTAATTGTTTGTTACATGAGCTTAACTATGATAACTGTGACAGAAAGTAAATTTAATGACAGTATAATGATCAATTGAATATATTTTAAAACATTAATTGTATTTATAATTTTATTTCAGTTCATGCACAAACAGAAGAAAATGAATCTACATCTCTTGAGCAGGTAAGTTTAAACTGTTCTTCAAAAAGTGCAAGTTGTGAATTAACAAGGCAAAAGTTGAGCACAAATGATTGACAAACTAATACTTTAACAGACATGTTAATAAGTAGCTTAGTTTGATGAATATCTTGACAAAGCTTTTGGTTAGTGTTTTAACTATGAAGATGTAATATATATATGTCAAGGTTTCAATATCTTGCTATGTTTATTGGATTCAAACCTCTCTTGGCAATATCCAATATCTTTCTTGATTGTTTATGGAAGGTCAATGGTTCTACCCCAAGTACCCAGTCGAATCAAATACAAATGTGTGGGGCGTCCGTGGCCGAGTGATTAAGGTCATTGACTTCAAATCACTTGCCTCTCACCGCTGTTGGTTCAAATACCAACAGGGACTTTGGATTCTTTCATGTGAGGAAGCTGTCCAGCTAGCTAACAGAACATTGATGGTTCTACTCAAGTGCCTGTTTGTGCCTGAAATAATGCACAGAATGGCACCTGAGGTCTTCCTCCACCAGTAAAGCTGAAATTTCCCCAGATAACCTATACTTTGTCGGTGTGACATAAAACCAAATCAAACAAACAAATAAATTATAACTGTGTAGGTTCTCTTGACATCTTCCTAAATTCGATTTGGTTAAATTTTCTGTCTTTCTTGTTGAAAAGCCTATTTTAAATTGATATTGCTATGGATAGAGTTTAGACTTTGCCTCAGTGTGTGCTGCTTTGAATGTCAATATTTCTTGATTTAAAATATTATCATATATTCAAAAATTATAATCTTAATAATGAAAGGGACCTATAAAAAGATAGGAGTTACCAAGTAACCAGCATTTTCAAGAATTTTTAAAAAAGGACAAACGTGTTTAGAGAGATACTTGTCTGAGGTTGTAAAAATACTGCACTAATCTCAATCTCAGAAGTCAAGTATTTGATTGGTCAGAAACTGCCACAGAATATATATTGACCAATGAAGTTTAAATCCTGAGATTTGAGACCGAACTCAGAGAAAAGTTTTTTAATCTCGCAGCCGGTGTCTATGTCTTTGTATCAATTTTTTTTTTTTTTTGAAAACTTGTCAACAACTACTGACAGAAACAAGATTTTACAATCTCTGAATTAAAAAATAACTTAGAGTTTATCAGTGAAAATAGCTTTATCTGCTTTCTTGGATGTTTTAATGTGTTAACAATGTATTTGAATGTCACAATGAATTTTAATGTGTGAACAATGTATTTTGTATGTGTTAACATTTTATTTGTAGATATTAATGTATTTGTATGTGTTAAAGCATTTGTATGTGTTATCATTTTATTTGTATGTGTTAATGTATTTGTATGTGTTAACAATGTTTTTGTATGTATTAACATTGAATTTGTATGTGTTGAAAGTGTATTTGTATGTGTTAACAGTGTATTTGTATGTGTTAACAGGTGTTAACAGTGTATTTGTGTGTGTTAACAATGTATTTTTATGTATTTACAAAGTATTTGTATATGTTAACAATGTATTTGTATGTATTTACAATGTTATGAATGTGTTTACATGGTTGAATTTGTATGTGTTAAAAGTGTATTTGTATGTGTTTACATTTAATTTGTATGTTTTAACAGTGTATTTGTATGTGCATGTTAACCTTGTATTTGTGTGTGTGTGTTAACAATGAATTTGTATGTGTTAACCTTGTATTTGTATGTTTTAACAGTGTATTTGTATGTGTAAACATTAAATTTGTATGTTTTAACAGTGTATTTGTATGTGTTAACCTTGTATTTGTATGTGTTAACCTTGTATTTATATGTATTAACATTGTATTTGTATGTGTTAACAGTTTATTAGTATGTGTTAACATTGAATTTGTATTTCTTAACAATGTTTTTGTTTATGTGATAACATTGTATTTGTTTGTATTAATGTACTTGTATTTGTTAACACTGTGTATTAACAATATAATTGTGCATCTCTCTCTAACTGACTACAGTGTGCTGACAGTGAACAGGAATCTATAGTGTAATAATTTGTACAGGTATGATACAACTGATGTTGTAAACAATGCATGTGATTGGATGTATATAGTGTGTAACATTATATGATAAGATACAGTGGTTATATCCTTCCATGTAGTAAAACAACCTTTTATTAGTAGCTAGATCATACTTTAATTTATACAGACAAAATTATTTATTGGTCCAACACAAGTTTTATTTCATATTGATAATTTTAAGGTCTTATATTTTCACTGTTATTTCACTGGTGTATTCATAGAAGGGCTATAATAAAAGATAAAAAAAATATCCTTTCCACACAGTATTATATTAATATGTTTAATTTATATTTATAAATTATATTTGCATGTGAACAATTTTATAGTTAAAGCTGGGATCAATTATTTATTTATATGTTGTTTTAGTTGTTATGTGCACAAACCCTTTTTGGCATGTAAAACCCCATTTTGGTGAAACACGTTTGATTTATAGATTTAGCTTAAATTATTTTGGTCATTACAACACTTCAAGTGATCTTTTTTCAAATCTTTATTATATATTAGTGTATATATGGGTGAGTGGGTGAAGATCACTTGCCCCTCATCCATGTTGATAGAAATCACTGATTGTGGATACTTTCATATGGTAAGCTTACCAAACATAGGATTTTCTACTCGAGTACCCACTCATGCCTGAAAAAATGCACAGAGGGCACCGAGTCCTGCCTTATTTGAGCCATGTCACGACAAAACCAATGTTATGCATTTGCGACCAGCATGGATCCAGACCTGCAGCCTGCGCATCTGCCCAGTCTGATCAGGATCCATGCTGTTCGCTATCAGTTTCTCTACTTGTAATAGGGTTTGTAAGCGAACAGCATGGATCCAGAACAGACTGTGCGGATGTGCAGGCTGGTCTGGATCCATGCTGGTCACAAACGCATTACGTTGGTTTTGTCGTTATGCAGCTCATTTGTAAAGCTGGCATGACACCATATGACAATTGCTGTGTGTGGTGACTCAAAGCAGCATGCCTCCAGATTTAAAGTATGGCCATGAAACAATTGGTGCAAATATTCAATAATTAAGATTAAAATAGCTTAGCATAGTGAGTCAGCAATTTATTTTGAAATGTTTATTTTGAATTATCGAATTTTAAAAAAAAGACCATAATATGCTCGATTTAAAACAATTAACAATATCAAATTAAAGCAGATTTTATTTTTTCAAATAAATACTTATATCTTTTCTGTTACATCACAAAACATTGCCAAGCAAGTCAATATGATCAATTAGATGGTGTAGAAGTTCATATATAATACAGCTTACATTCTGTATGCTTCTGTCCTCATCTAAATGGAGTTTTTAAATTAAACCTATGATAAGAAATATTTTTTCTCATTTGATAAAGATATAATTTGTTGATATAGATATAATTTAACATATGTGGGAAGTCTTCGGTCTCATTTGATATGATACATGTAGCTCTAACTTAACACAAAAATTGACAGACAATGAAAACACCCAAATACATTCTACCTATATGAATCTTTTTCAGCACCGTAAGAAAGTGAGATTTGGGAAGAAAAATTACTACAATGGTTACCATGGCAACCGTTACAACAGTGAAGCATTCTACAATCAACATGACATGATTGTCGATGAATACGACTCTAGATTTGATGATGACGCAGAGGAATCCTTTGTCTGACATGTCTGTTTCCATGGAAATATTCTCAACAAATTTATAAATATAAAAATAGCTGTGATCCAAAGAGCAAACCATCATGACACAGTGAAATGTGTGCAATGTGAGAAGTCCCCATTTTAATGCTAGGTTTCATAATTTTATGCACTATTTCAAAGTATTTACTCTTTAAATATTTGAAGACGTGTTTAGGAAACCAACTAAGGAAACCAGATAAAAGTTATTCCTAATATTATTGCCAAGCTGTTGTTGCAGAGGAAAAATTATCAGTGTGGTTTTTAGTCACTTTTGAGGCATTCTTGGTATAAATATACTCATTTATATTTCGAGTGTTGACTGCAAAACTGAAGTAACTTACATGAAATTATGAAATAAAGAAGACCTTAGCTTATAACAGTCTTGCGGTCAACCCTTAAAAATGTTAATGTCTGAGGTAGCATTAAGTTGGTTTAACACTGATATTTGGGACAGTTTTAATTACTTAGATGTAAATTTTTAGTTTGGACATAAAAGTCATTTCTTACATGTAGATTCTTTTTAGAATACTTGAGTCCTTAGATTTATTCTTAGACAATCATTTTAGATCATCTGGGGCTTTTTGACAGTGTTTGATTTTAGTGTTTAGTCATTGTTTACCTTATCAAGCTTTACCAGGTATCTTTTAATGCGAGGCATAATATATTAATGGTGACCAAGGTTTATGTTTATGAGGGACCATAATATTACAGGTTTGATTGATTGATAATTTTGTGATCAAAATGTATATTGCCTAAGTTAAATTAGTGACCAAATTTATATTGCATAAGTTAAATTAGTGACCAAATGTATATATAAGTTGGGTTAATGACCAAAATGTATATTGCATAAGTTAAATTAGTGACCAAATTTATATTGCATAATGTAATGCATAAATTTTTAACATGTTATTTTTGCCCAATTAAGGGTTAAGTTTTGTGTTAGTGTTAAGGAACAGGGCTCATTGTAGAAATAAGTCATAGGAAAGAAAATAGCTGATGTAACTTATAAGATGTAAGATTAAGTTACTCTCAACCATGATTATGAAAAATCATTTAAAATAATATGGACATTAGTTTTTCATTTGGCAAAAAGCATTTCCATGATAGGTAAAACCAAGTTTTTTATTTGATTGTAAGTTACTCTTGCACTTAATGTTTATACACGTAGTTTCTCAAATATTCTATTTGAAATATCATTGCCCCCCTTGAATATGAGCTTTTATTATCTGTTTGGAAGAAATCCATTGGCTTTAAATGATAATTGTTGATGCTGGGGAATCATATTTTTGCAACTTAAGGTTCTCAGAAATATCAATGATTGGTTATAATATATGATGAAATGAGATAGCATATGAAATGAGATAACAATTTATGAAAATATGATAACATTTTAAATTTGTTATCATATGAATGAGATAGCTATGAAATAAGATATCATATGAAGTGAGATAGCTAGTGAAATGAGATAATGTATGAAATGAGATAGTGTTTGAAATGAGATAACATAATTATTTATGATGAAATGAAATTGCTATGAAATAAGATGACATATAACATAAGATAGCATATGAAATGAGATAGCTATGAAATGAGTTAGCATATGAAATGAGTTAGCTATGAATGAGTTAGCATATGAAATGAGTTAGCTATGAAATGAGTTAGCATATGAAATGAGATAGCTATGAAATGAGTTAGCATATGAAATGAGATAGCTATGAAATGTGTTAGCAAATTAAATGAGATAACTATGAAATGAGTTAGCATATGAAATGAGATAGATAATGAAATGAGTTAGCATATGAAATGAGATAGCTATGAAATGAGATAGCTATGAAATGAGTTAGCCTATGAAATGAGATAGCTATGAAATGAGATAGTTGTGAACTAAGATAGCATGTACGTAAAAGTATCCTATCTTAAAAAGTGATTGAGTGAAATAAGCATACAGATTAGGTCAAATATAAATTTCATTGACTTTTCAAATTTTATTTAACCATGGAGATATTCTTAAATACATTTACTGATGTTGATATTGTAACTAGCAGGAACATAAAGAATGCTGGAAACAAAAAAATAACAGACTTTGCCACCAGTGTAGAGCAAGGCCAACTTTCACATTCATACAATCATGATCTGGTTTAATACTGCTATGTGATTAATTAGTGACATTTTGATATCAAAATCCCTAAACCTATTAGTCTGATCTGACAGTTTCAAAGTCAAGTCTATAACTCAAGTCAAGTTATCAATGTTAAGGTTAAAGCAATCAAATTTTAAGCTTTTTATATAATATTATGTCTTGCTTTGTAAAACCATTAAGCTATTTAGCTTGTTGTTGTTGTTTTGTTGTATTTATTTATTTTACAATATAGATCTTACTATAGTGACAACTATGAATGTAAATAGTTCATGAGACTCAAAATCAGTGTATTTATAGTTTTAGTGTAAATTGTACATGTATAATTGTGTATTCATAGCGCTGTGGTCAGTTATATGACCATAAAATGAATAGATTTCATTTTTTATTGTAATTATATATTATATAGTTATATGTGTATATACATGTATAATATGTGTGCTGATGTGTTGAAGATATATATACTGCACTGAATAAGGGATTTGCATTAGTATTAATCCATTACCAATGTATAATATTTACTGCATTTGATGTCATGACTGCCAAAAACCATTAATTCTGATCCAGCTTTGTCAAATTATCATTTACTGTAAAACATGTTGTGAATTCAACATAACAACATGTTGTGAATTCAACATAACATTGTTTTGTGAATTCAACATAACATTATGTTGTAAATTTAACATAACAAAATGTTCTGTGTTCAATACCACATGTTGTGAATTAAACATAATATTTTGTGAGTTCAACATAACAACATGTTGTGAATTAAACATAACAATATGTTGTGAATTCTAAATACCAACATGTGAATTCAACAGAATTCTTTCATGACACTGTTGATTCTCATGTCATTTCATCTAAGGTTAAATTGACTTTCTAGGTGTCAAGGTCAAACATTTTGTATCTCCCATTTGTCATGGTATTATTTCAAAACACACTTTATTGAAGTGTACAATAATGATAGGAAGTATGTCAAACCAAAGAAAATAAATATTTAAGTAACAAAGTAGTTTGATAAACAGTGGTTGTCATTTAAACTGGATTATTTAAACTTTATGGTTTTTAATTCTTGAGAAATTGTGTGCTATTTAAATTGCTTTAGCTGAAGAGGTATAATTTTATGAACCTCTTCTCTACAGGACATTATTGTTAAGAAGTTGAAAATCACTTGAGAAGGATTTCTAAATCTAGAAACATCTTGTGCTTTTATTATTATATCAAATACTGTATAATATATACTTACTAAATTTAAATTTAATACAGGTATTGACCTTAAAAGTTGGAAATATGAAATAGATTGACCTCACACTATAATTTTTATAATTCATCTAAATAGGTGGTAAAATAAGTAGTCTAATATACATGTATTGTAGGTAACTATAGTAATAATCATAGTTTTTAATTAGGTTATAGAACAGTTGTTTAGGAAAGTGCTAATCAAATAGTCTAGATGATATTTCTTATGGTCATTATTTCAATAAAAAAGCTAGTCTATTGGTCCTGAATGGATCTGTGTCTGTTTTGGTTACTTGTTCTTTCCTTACTTAATTGACTGTAATTATAAATTCAGTGTTATTATTTGTATACTATATGTATTTTAGAGTATAAAGCTATATCTTAAGAATTATTTCTATAAAATTTAGAAAAGGATAGATTTATGTTGTTTCCACAAATATTGTTGTTGATTCTTGAACAAGTTCAACATAGAATGTTTCTGTAGCACACTTGCAAAATGTGCATAAACAGAATAAAACTTTATGGAATATGATATATTGCTGCTATTTTAATTAGGTTTTAAACCATCTAGCAATAATTTTTTTTGGACTGGCCATTCTGACTCAGATGGAAATAAACTTACAAACTTCTTCAGTAAATAATCGGGGTTATGCAGATGGGGCCTCAAAAAATATCTTCAAATCAGGCATTTTGAAATTATTGTTTTTCAAAATGGAACCGAACATTTTTTTGAGATATAGCTTTTTACACTTTAAATAAGTTTTGTGCTAAAATCTCAACCATGTAATCATGCCATACGAATCTCTAGTCATTACATATAAGTGTGCCCTACAAAAAAATTAATAAATCAGAAAATATTAATTCATGTAATCCAAAAGGAAATTTTTAGTACGTTTTGGCCAACAAAAGATTTACAAGTAATTCATTTTAATTTTAAAACTTTTTATAATTTTAAGTCTTCTTGTACTTGTGTCCTGGTTTTTAAGTCAAACATTTGTTAACAAATCGGGTTATCAAAGTTCAGTTCCAAAGTTACGATTGAAGTTGAAATGACTGGCAGTCACTAGTTCCTGAAATGTTACACTCCGGGTTGACCTGAGGTCTTCCTCCGACAGTTCAGCTGGAGGGTTTTCCAAACCGTCACATCACTTAAGCATACACATCACTAAAACAGGTTTTCATACAAAATTTTTTTATTATTTCTGATGGATAAACACTTTAGTTTCACACTTGGTCAAAAAACATTCTATTACATTGTAAAATGTATCACATAAAAATTTATTTTTTGTTTGTGATCATGTACCAAAGGGTGGTCTGTTGGTATAGGTTCATGTTTATTCACACAAGGTAATCATTATCATTTTATACTGCCACAAGTTACTCACATTGTCAAATATTCATATAAACTTTTCTTCTTTATAAAAGGCTGAAATCATGCCATAAAGGGAAGAAATAAATTGAAAAAATCATATTGCATGTTTCTAGCTGAATGCGCACAGCTTTGACTTCATGTACAGTGGTGTTAATTGTTATATAATCATAAAATATGCTAAATCAGTAGAATTGGTATACCATTATAATATAATGTTATCTATGCATAGATTTTAAATCATTCCACATTATTCAACTGTAGAAACGAAGAATTATATTCCTGTTTTGTTTATTATTTCAAAGTTTGTCTATGTTTAAATTTTTACCAATTATGATATAATTATGAATTTTTTGTTTGTCTTCAAGATCTGTTAATGTTTTAGTTTTATAATGTACAGTTTTATGTTTGTTTTGTAAACTGTTTTTATATGTTGTAGAAACTCATAAAATTTTATCATAAAAAACATAGATGTTATATAAACACAAGCATTTTCTTTTAAGTGTGATATTATTTTAAGATTTGTTTTTAAGTCTGTAAAATTATTGTAATATAAATTATTATGTAATAGGTTGATACTCATAAGAAAAATGTTAAAAGATTTAAACAGCTCAAAAAGGGGCGGCAAAGGAGGGGGGGGGGGATAACTAATCGACAGTCTATGATCTTCAACATAGGAGGGACTGTAAACAGCTCAAAATTAGTGATGTAGGGGGGACTGTAAACCGCTTAAAAGGTGTTACCTAGAAGCCATCTTAGCTGTTTAAAACATTTAAATTTTTTCTTATTAGCATCTAACTGCCTTAGTCTTTGACCTTCTTTTTAGGCATACATAGTATTAACATTTTAATGGATGTTTAAATAAACACAAATGAGGTCAGTTTTTGCAAAATAGACCTTCAGAAATTTTCAAATTCACTCATTCTCATTGGATGAAAAAAGTAGGACAAAGACAAAGTGAAATATAAGTTAATATATGAAAATGTAATGTAGTTATTGTAATGTGTTTTACATGTAATCTAAGATCTGAAAATGTAATGTAAAAAAATATGTGCTTGAAACCCAGTTCTTACAAAATTAGGCACAGATTTTTGCATTGCCATATATTATTTGATTTAAGTTGAAAAGTCCTCTCCATATTATTTAAGATATGGTGTGTCTTAAGGTTTTAGAAATATTAAAATGACAATTAATTTTGGAAAAGTAGAGTATGGAAATAACCAAAACATCAGAAATTCTGTATAATTCCTTTGATTGAAATATTGAAGAAAATTAAGGAGTAAAATCTTTAGCTTGTAGCATACTTGCTCCATGCCACCAGTGCAGTTTAAAATCAGCTAGGACATCCATCATGTCTATGCCCTTTCGTTATTGTCTGTGTTGTTCACTATTCAGTTAGTACATCTTTTGAAATTTCCCCCCAAAATGATGAATGGATCTGTCTAGATGGGCAAGTTCGTTTAAGATAATGTGGGCAAATAAAAGCAAACATTATCCTCATAGTGTAGAAAAGGATACCATGTGGAAAAATAATGTTCAGACATTGTATAGCAAGTGTTTTACTTACTATTTAATAAATTTAATATATATGACTGACCTATAAAAGGTATAAAGGTTGTAATATGGAGTCCAAGTTTGGCGTTTGAATCTGCAGTGTTTTGCTCTATTATTAAAAAGGTTGAACTTTTCAAAGAAATATTTTGTGTAATAAACAGTATCTTTCACTACTAATTATACAGAATGCATATAAATGATATAACCATTCATTTTATGTTATATTGAAACATAGTTGTTTTAAATATATAACCAGACTTGAAATTGTTTCATAAACTTACATGACTGTGTTTTGTTGAGTTTTAATGTGTTAAATCTTAACCTATTCTTGAAGATAATGTAACACTTATAAGTATTGTAGATCTGGTTTTAATGTGTTCATTAGATTTTATAAATCATTTATTGATCATAGAAGTTTTTTTGTTTGTGTGTGAAATCTTTTATTAAAATCATTAGGAGCTTCTTATATAAATTACGTTTTTATTTATGCAATATTTGATTGATATTCACTGTTATACAAGTTTTTGTGTGTGACACATGAAATGGGGTTGGGTTCAGTTTTAAATAGATGAATTATGCTGTCATAATTTACGATATGAGATAACAGTGAGCAGTAGATTAAGACAGACAATCTCTAATTTATAATAATAAAACAAAATTATTTTTGCACTTCATTGCTATAGTTTTATTTGATATATTTAATATGCATTGTTGAATTATTTGAGGATTCTCTGTTGTATGAAGATACAAAAATAATATTCCCGAGTTTTAATTAGCTGT